TTTGGTCACGGAGTCCAAGTTAAAAACTCATCCACAGGCTTTATTTAAGCTGATTTAGAACTTAAAAAATGAGGGTCACGGGCTGCAGCTGGGACCATTAACCTCGACAAAACATCCTCTCTTTCCTTCACTGCAACCACGTCTTCTCCCTTTCATCACAAGGATCATAAAAGCATGATTTGTCTTTTGTTTTGTTTTGTTTTTTTATTTTGACAGGTTTCATCCCACCTCCACTGATCTTTGGGGCTGGAATTGACTCCACGTGTCTGTTCTGGAGCACGTTCTGTGGGGAGCAAGGAGCCTGTGCATTGTATGACAACGTGGTCTATAGATACCTGTACGTCAGCATTGCTATTGCCCTCAAGTCGTTTGCATTCATCTTGTACACAACCACCTGGCAGTGCTTGAGGAAAAACTATAAAAGATACATCAAGAACCACGAAGGTGGTCTCAGCACTAGTGAGTTTTTTGCCTCTACTCTCACCCTAGACAATCTGGGGCGGGACTTGGTGCCCCAAAATCAATCACATAGGACAAAATTTATCTATAACCTTGAAGATCATGAATGGTGTGAAAATATGGAGTCTGTTTTATAGTGACTGTGGAGGGGTGAACTATATTAATAACACAAGGATCCTTTTTAATAAAAGCAAGAAGAGCATGGATGAAGAAACACGACTGCAAAACAACAGTGGCAACACGGGAAACTTTTTCCTTTTTCTCCAAAAAGTCAGGCCCAGCCAGGATTCTTCAGAACAGCATCTTGTAATGGGATCCCATCCTGCGGGGTGCTGGAGAAGGCAGGGAGCTGCTGTGGCTGGGTACCAGCCCCTTTGATGACAGTACAAGCTTCTGCAGAGGGTCAGCTGAGAGCTCAGCGAGCGGACGGGCTCGGGCGCGAGGCGAGCGAGGTGACAGCAGCAGTGCCTGTGTAGCTCTTGGTGGTGCTCCCAGGGCTACGTGGAGCCCAAGGCACGGGCTGGAGGCTTGGCTGGGTGCTGTTCCAACCCAGTGCATTCTGCAAGGGCAGAGAGGGGTTCTGGAGTCTCTGTCACCAGCCCCGAGTGCACGCTGAGTGCTGGAGAGCTGCTGGAAGGCTTGGAAGTCAATAGCTGTGCTCGGATCTCTCAAACCCAGTAAAGTTCAAGACATCTGCTCACACTTGCCAAACGTGCTGTCATTTTTAAAGGGGGATGAATTCCAAATACTTGTCTGTGTAGTCCTCTAATAGGATTTTTTTTGTTTTTTTAAAAAAAACTTATTTTCAAATCTATGTTAACCCTTAAATCGCTGACACTTTTCCATAGGGAGGATTTATTTATGCTAGTTTGGGGAAGGATCCTGTTTAATTCACCCAAACATAATGTGACTCAAGGGGTTTGTTTAATCCTCTGCATTTTTTTATCCATACGCCTTCATTCTAATATGCTACCAAGCCAATGAAGACACATAATCTGTTTTTAAAAAAGAGAACGAATGCACTGTGTCTCTATAAAACAAATTGTCAGTTGGAGAATTATAGATAATGTGATAATTTACATAATATAGTTTTTTTCATATTCTATGTGACTCAGTGAATACATATATATATATGGAGGGGCTGTTTATGTTCTCTCCAGTTTTTAAAGATATAGATATATATATATAATTTGCAATCTAGAAATTGTGTGGTGGATGTTTTCTTTAAGAGTGTGTGTATGTGTGTGTGTGTGTGTGTGTGTACAAGTTGAAAGGAATACTGACCTTAATCCTGCAACCCTCAAAATTGACATTTTTTTTTTTCCACCTGAGAAATTCTACCGACTTCAGTAGAAGCCACATAGTAGAAGGGTGGAATTATTTCCCCTCCTGGAGGCCACGTTTTGCCCTTAGATGTGCAAATAGTGTTCCTGTGGAAGGCTGGGTTATGGGAGCAGAGGCTGGGCAGCATTGAGCACCTCTGAAATTTTCATCCAGCTCCTCAAGAGGCACCCACGCAGGAGCAGATTTGGCTTGGCTTTTGCAGTGCACTCTTATCTAAGCCTATAAAATCACGGGGAAGCTTTCATCTGATTTCAAGAAGCATTGGGTCAGGCTTATTTTGCATGCATATTTTTCTTTTCCAGAACATTTCTGCTGGGAAGCAGTACAAATTGGTTGTGTTTGATGAGCTTTCCCCGGGAACCAGACCCATTTCCAATGGACTAAATGTCAGAGGGGTTTTAAGGGTTAGCATCGTAATCAGAAAAGCTCCTTTATTTGTTAGTGTTTTGAAGCTGTTGTGAACTAGCAGATGTTCAGAGCAGTAACCTGGCATGTGAATGCTGGACATCACTTCCATGCAGCTGGTGGAGGGGCCGATCTTCCCCAGGTCCTTGTCCATTGCTGGCAGTGGACACGGCGGAGCTGGCACGGTTATAGAGGGTTGGTAACTTGCCACTCATGTTCCACACCTTTTTAGCAGATTTTACTCTTCCCTAAGCATTGAAACAGGGGTGTGGGGTATCAGACTGCTTCCACTTGACTGACTTTACACGTGTGTTTGTAACTTCTGCACAGCATCATCTGTTCAGCAACCATAAGGGCAAAAAAACAAATGAGTGTATCGAATAAACTCCACTGTGCCAAATACTCAACAAATATTGTAACTTCAGATATTTGATTCTTGGTTTTCAGCCATGTTAAGAATCATTTGATTAATGAAAGAGCTTAAGGAAAAAAAAGTTATTAAGCTATGCAGTGCCATTGTTACGTTGGGAGGTAAATGATGCTTTTTAGACTATTAGATTGGTTTAGAATATCCTGTCTGCTGAAACAGAGATACTACATCCATAAAACAATGAATCTAAAAAAAGGCACAGGGTGCATAACTGTCTCATAAAATATGTATAATTGTCAAGTATAAGCCTTTGAAATCATTCTGTACAGTTCTTTTCATCCTGCAAATTTATTACTTAGACTGCTGTCTTTTCAAATGTTAGCTCATAATTTTATACTATACACACACATTCAGACTCGAACACAAATGTCATAGAATAGAACCTTTCTAAAAGCCTGATTGCTTGAAATTCTATAACCCCTTTCACAATTTCATTTTTTTTCCCCTCTGCAAGTCCAAGGTGAAGGAGAATAGCACGCTGACATGATACAGAACAAAATCTCAGTGTTCAGTTGTTTTGATTTGTCAGTACAGTCAAAACTCCCCCTTGACTGGAATTACACAACCTGAATTCCAGGGCACTTCATGTGTTTGGTTGGTTTTTTTTTTTTTAAATTTAATCTCTTCTCTTGGTGTGAATGGGAGATGCAGTTGAATGGGGTTACTTATATTTTTTTTTAAGCTGTAACTTGAAATTCCTGCATGATTGATGTTTTTTTAGTTGTTTTGATAATACAATTTTTGAAAAGCTTTCTCCCCTTCCCACTATATTTTTAAGTTTACATCAGTTGCCTGCATCATGAAGGGCTTTACTGTCAGTGCTTTGGTACAGATTCAAGAACAGAGCTTTAGTTTAAAGAAAACACACCGGCCAAATCCTGCATCCAGCCCAGCAGGCTCTTGGGTTTCTTCTCATTTCAAAACCACAAGCCAGTTTTGCCTGCGACCCAATTTTTGTTCTAGAATAACGAATGAAGAGCCTCAGATATTATCATCCTGCTTCCCAAACTGCAGGATGGACCTTGGCCTGTCAGCACTCGGCTTCCATCCCGCATCTGCCTTAACCGTGCAGGAGGCTTAAGAACAAGGATGGAGTTAGAAAAATGCCCATTCCTGGGAACAGCCCCAGGGGCATGGTCTGAGCTGTGCCATCCAGCTCCAGTGTTGGAAGTTTATTCTGAAATTCAGTAGTTTGTTGAGACAGTCTCAGCAGAAATGACTTGGACTTCTCCAAGCACTGTGTTCCCTGCGTGGCTGTCTGCTAAGGAATGGGATGTTTGAAAAAAATAAACCACTTGGGATTTAACAGTCTCTGGGGGGTTGTCCAGTTGCCTTGCATGACTTCAGGTTGGGGTTTCCTTTCCCTTGCACAGATGCCATCTTGGTGTAGCCTCAAAAGGGGACCCCAATCTAAAACTGGTGCAGATAACACTAGAATTGGTTTCCTTGCATCCCTGTTAACAAGGGGATGCATTTTCATGAACCTCTTTTTTATACATACTGAAATCATGCATTTTTCTGGCTTTGCCCAGCACATCTTGGATGTATAGTGGGACTGAACTGGAATGACCTAAACAAACCTTCCATTCCTTGGGAATTCAAATTACAGGTGCCTCACACTGCCACACCCCTGCAAGATGCACAGAACAACTCGGCGCTGCTGCCGTTGACCTCAGCTGGCTCTCACCTTGCTGGGAAGGTGACAAGGGAAAGATCCAGAGAGGAATTAGCTTCCATTAGCTGAGAACGCTTCAGAATTGAACTGATGGTCTGCAGACATTTGGAAAGTGATTGGAGGATTTCCAAATGGCTGAGATGCTTTGGCATTTTTTTTCTTGGAAAAAAAAGAAATTAAGGAAATAATTGATGAGATTTGGAATCCTTCCTATCCCCATCAGAGTTCATCACGTTGCTGTTGGAGGCAACGTGCTTCAGGTTTACCTTTGTGTCTCAGTCAGATGTGTATTTCTCCTCAGTAGACAAGGTCCTGGGAGACTGACAGGCAGCTCCATCTCCTCACCAGCAGTTTCACCCTGCAGCACATCCAAGACGACCTGAAGGTGACTGTGAACCTTCAGCCGTGGCTGCTGCTGCCATGGGAGAGTTTGTCACAGCTGAGTCTGCTTGGCTCAGTATTTTCTTAAGACGTGGACAAACTTGGTGTGATATTTGTTTTATTCTTGGCAGGTGATGTGGGGAATTGTGAGTATTAAAGGCATATGCAAATGCTTCCCTGGACTGGTGCGAGAACAGCTTTGTTCCTTTATTCACAAGGATATCCAAACTTTAGGTTTCCAAACTCTGCCTTTAGACACAGCCATGCTCATCTACCCCTTTGTTTCATGTGAATTGTCTCTGCAGACAAAAGCAGGGTTCTTGTTGATCTCTCCAAATCTGCTTAATGCCTGTAGAGTTCACAGCCTTCCTGTGGGTAGGGCAGAGCACCCCTGAATATGAGCAATAATACTGACCTGTCCCCATTTGCTGTAGGAGTTTCTGCTTTTCTTACCCAAATCTGAATTCACCTCTCCCAGCATCCCACACTGCTGCTGTCACTCACTTTTTTTGTTGGCAGCAACTCCAGCAGACCCTGAATATTCTCCTTTCTTACCAACAGGGCTCCCTCCTGTCCCCACAAGGCAGCCAAGGTGCAATCGGTGTGAACGTAGGCAGCAGTTTAGTAAGATGGGCAATCCCATGATGGGAGCCTTTGGAATGAGCCAGGCTCAGGTTGAGATTGATCCAAGGAGGGAAAGAACAACCAGGGCATTGTGGCTGAGCCTCCTGGGGTCCCTGAACGGATTATCCATCCTTCAGTGCTGCTGGATCAGTTGAAGGTTGGACCTGATGATCTGGAAGGTCTCTTCCAAAATGATTTGGTGGTTCTATGGATAGACTGACTTGCCTTGTCTCCCTGAGACCCACAGTTTGTGGGCATTTCTCCCAAGCTGACCATCA